GGCCATTGCCAAATATTTACAGCTCGAGGTGCTGCACATTCCACACACACACACACACACACACACACACACACTCAGACTGTAAAAACTTTACGCATTGCATTCCATTTTGCCAGGTGACGATCAGCGATAGCATCTCCACGAAACTGTGCACCAGCTGCTGGCACCATCTGAGCGATTTCCAGCAATTCTGCGCCATGGTCGCCGACAAGCAGCAGTCGCTGCAGCTGAAAATGGAGCCGGAACCGCCGCCCGAGCCAGCTGTTGTTGTGTGGAACACCGAGTCGCCGATCGAAACGAAGCTGGTCTTCGATGACGATGTCAAGGATCATATACTGTGCGAGCCCGAGATTGATGTGAACGACAGCACACAGTCCACCAGCAGCAGCAGCAACAGCGAGGACTCGCCGGCCGATGCCTTCGATTCGGAGCGCGAGCAGACAGCTGCGGCCAAGCAAAGCAGAGGACGCACGCGCCAGGCGCTTTTAAAGCCAGCCGGCAGCAAGTGTCCAGCGCCACAAATAACTGCCAACAGCCAGCGCGAGTCACGTTTGCGTTCGCGCGAGCTGCGACGCACTGCAGCAGCAGCAGTAGCAGCAGCTGGAGCAGGAGCAGCAGAGCTGCCCGCCAAAATGCTAAAGATCACAAAGTCACGCGGCCGACCCAAGGCAGTCAATGCCAAGCCGAAACCGAAGCCGCAGCCAAAGTCAGCCAAACCGGACGCCGACGAGCTGGCGGCGAAGCGCAGCAGCATTAAGGAAATGGACGACTATATAGCGGCCAATGTGAAGCTGGACTGTTGCCTGTGCGCCGCGCCGCTCCAGAACTTTATCGAGCTGAAGCGACACTTTCGCGCCGAACACAACTGCACCGGCTACATGGAGTGCTGCAACAATCGCTACAAGAAGCGCACATTGTATGTGGATCATTTGCACTATCACAAGGATCCGCAGTACTTTAGCTGCCAGCCGTGCCGCAAGAGCTTTCTCAATCGCAACAGCCAGGATATGCACATGCTGCGCTTTCATTCCGAACAGCAGCAGCTGGTGCATCAGTGCGGCATCTGCGAGGCGCGCTTTGCCAAAAAGTTTCTGCTAACCATGCACATCAAGGGACACAAGGGCACCGAGCGCACCGAGGCCTGCGAGACCTGTGCCAAGAGGTGGGTGATTCGCTAGATACAGATGGCATCTAAACTGATTCTCCACGCGTTTTCCCTTTGACAGCTTTCGCACCAAACTGGAGCTGACGGCGCACATAAAGCGCATGCACACCTCGGACTTTACGCCCGTGATCTGTGACATTTGCGGCGTACATTTCCGATCGAAGGCCAACTTTCTGATACACAAGAAGGCGCTGCATCCGGATGGCCCAGTCGCCGAGGTGCAGTGCAATCTGTGCAGCCGCTGGCTGCGCGACGAGCGCAGTCTGCGCAAGCATCTGGCCAGACACGATGATCGCGACGGCGACAACAAATATCGCTGCCTCCTCTGCAGTGCCGAGAAGGCCTCCCGTGTCGCCCTGAGCAGTCATATGCGCTACCATCACTCGGCCAAGCGGCACAGCTGCACGCTCTGCGGCAAGGAGTTCAAGCTGCCACGAGCCCTGGCCGTGAGTGATCCGCTTGCCATCTGCTTCTCACGTCTCGAATTTGATACATTTGTTTTTTTTTTTTTTTTTTCATGCACGCACACAGGAGCACATGGCCACGCACACGGGCATCGATCTGTACTCGTGTCCATTCTGCACGCGCACCTTTAAATCTCACGCGAACATGCACAACCACAAGAAGAAGATGCATCCCAACGAATGGGTGCGCAAGTATACGCAGCCCTCCGCACGTGCCGCCCAGGCAAATGGAACAGCAGCCGACAAGGAGGAGCAGCAGGAGCAGCACGAGGCGGAGCAGGAGCAGGAGCAGGCACTGGAACAGTCAGCTGAGACGCCGTCAGCAGCTGATGGCAGCTACGAGTATATGGTGAATGGCAGCGCTGTTTGTCCCATGTGAAGGCGTGTCACAGCCCACAAATCCGGCGATTGTACATATGTAATTAGTTTATTGGCATCTATAAAAATGTTGCAAATTGTGAATTGTAGACTTAAACGTAACTTTTGTAGTATAAAAAACATGAAAGCGGAAGCAGCGTTTTAGTTCTCAGCCTCGTTTTCGGCCAGTATGGTGCGGATTTTCATGAGCAGCTCCTTTTTGACGGCATCGGGCACCAGGGTGCGCGCCTTGGGCGTCACTTCAGCAATTAGCTGCTCGACGGTGACGCCGTTGCTCGAGTTGCTCTTCTCGAGCAGTATATTGCGGCATAGCAGACGCACCTCGTCCCGCCAGCCGCACTCGGTCAGGCGATTGCAGAGCAGGTCCTTGATTTTGGAGCGATCCCCCGACATGATTGTGTACTGGTCCACGGTGTTTGAAACAGTCATGGTTTATTGCTTTTATTGTTACCTTGGCGTTTGCTCGCGGCTCGCCGCAAGAGGCCAATGTTTTCTTAAATTGCTATTTTATATTTGTGGATGGCCAACAAATACAAGCTGATCTAATATCGATAACATTATCGCATTGCCGCCGCCGCCGCCGCCGCCGCTAATGTTAGCCTTCCCAATACTCAAACCAATTAGCATCGATGCGTGCGGCAAGGCGCTTTTCTGTAAAATGGATGAAGTAATCGCTAAGAGCGCGAGCTAGCTGCTAAGTGCTTAACAGTTGCTGTTAACTGTTCGCTAAACGGTGGCAACGCCGTCGCCTAACATTTCATTATCGCAACGCAACTGCAAACAGTTGGCAACAATATCAAATATTTAAATTTAAGAAAAGAAGAACAAGAAAGTCATCTTAGTTTTAATAGTAATCAAATGACCTATTTAATGCTACCTGACTGTTAAAAATATCAACAAAAGAAAGCGAACAAAACAAATGCGTCTGAGCTTTAAATTTCGATACATCGTAACAGCAAAAACGCATCGATATTTACGATCACTGTTATCGATACATCGCTATATTTGGCAATATACTTAGTTCAACATCAATAACTAGCAACGGCAGCCATGTTCATCATCAGACAGCTAGGAGTTACAGGCAAGAGCAGACATACAACATTAGTTTAACTTTTCTTTTGTTTTTTTTTTTTTTTTTTTTTTATACACCCTTGCTTTGTCGTTTTGTTATACACACACACACTCACACACACACACTAGACAGACAAAAACAGATTGAAAGTCAATACGTTTTAGTAGAAACACATTTTGTTTTTCTTAATTTTTTTTTTGTTTGAATTGGATTTGATTAAAAACGGCTCGTAAATAGGCAGCAAAGTCAGTAAAAGGGCTTTTTGAGCATTAATATTGTAGGTTCTGGCGGTACAGTCACAAATCAAATGGTAAGTTCTCAACGCATACACACACACGCATGCATCATGCTCGTTTGTGTGTGTGTGTGAATACAAAATGGAGGTGATTCAATAACAAAATGAACTCTTCATTTCAGTTATCTACTCTAAAAGTGCACGTGCAAGTCAACAGCTAGTAAGTTTTAAAGAACTGAAACGTTTTGCTGATCAGCCAGGAATTACGAAATGTGAAAACTTTAAAACGAAGCACACACACATCGAATGTGTGTGCGTGCGTGTGTGTGTGTGTGCGAGAGACGCAAGATCCCGACATTATTTTCTGCGTGGACACGTTGCATTTGATTAATATTTGTGTGTTCTGTTTTTTTTTTTACAGGTAACTGAGGGCTTCATCAGAAGGTAAAGTAAACTTTTGGGCATTAGCTTTAGAAATTGGTTTAGGGCTCGTAGAATTGTGAGCAGAACCGATTTTCGAAGCAAGTTTAAAACGTATACGAGTTTTAAACGATCGTTAAAACGAACGTTTAAAAATCGCAAAAGTTCTATTTGAATGTTATACGCGCATTAACATCAAATAGAGCAATAGAGCAACAACAAATAAAGGGATTACATTAAATGTTGGGTTAACGTTATACAAGCCGAGCAAAAGACAAACCAACTATTTTTAGGGCATGTATAATGTTGCAGCACGCATAACAAATAGCAAATGTTATACGTGCCGAGAAAAAAAGTGTTAAAAAAAATATATATATAGGAGTTAGGAAAAGAAATGTAACGTTATACGTGCCTTAACAAATACTTTCAAAATATATTGCTTAAAATTAAAGTGAAAACTAAACTGAAATATGTCTATTGATTTTTACTTGGGTAATGCTAACGAAAAGTCAGGAATTGTCTGCATTCTCACTCTTTCGGTTTGGTGATGAGAGAGATGGATATATTTTTGTCTCTCTCTCTTTCATGGATTGCAGTGAAAGAGCATGAACATGGAACTGTATGAAATGTAGCCTAGCACGAAGCATAAATGGCGGCAAATGAGCACATGGAATAGCATCGATAAATTTGTTAAAAAAAACGGATTTGATGTTCCTTTGCCGTAAGCTTGTGCATTCTGTGATCCGCCATTTTTAGATCGTCCATTTTGAAATGCACGTGAAGCTGGCTGCGCTTACATATGACTTAACGTGAAGTTGGCTGCGAGAGACTTCTCAGACATTTGGCGCGTTGGCTGCACGTAACTGCTGACTCACGACTGGCTTGCGTCTTAGATGTGTTCGGTGTCCTAACTTAGCAGAGACACACAGCCACAGGGCGGATTGAAAGCGCAGAATCAACATTGTGGTGGCTAAACGATTGAAGGTCGTATCGATAATGACAATCCACTATCGATATTTCGTGTCGTGTAGAGCTGCCAGATGTTGCTTTTGCATGGAAATCGCGTCGCGTCGCAATATTGTTACAATTAGCATAAAAAGTAAATAAAAGTATGAAAAAATCCACTTAAAGTAATGTACAAATGGTTCAAGTGCAACGGGCTCAGGGGCAGCGTGTAAAAACCAAATGAAAAGTGACCTGCTGCAGCTGTTGTATGTGTTGTTAGTGTATGTGTCTATGTATACATATGTATGCGCCTCTGTATGTGTGTTGCCTTGATTTTGTGTCATACGTGTGTATAAACTACATGCTGTATGTATGTACACATAATTGTGTATAATTTTCGTAATTGTATGCTCAAGTGCGATGTTGTATTGGTGTGTTATTCCCATTTGAACTTATTGCACGAAAAACAAATATATAAAAAGAAAACGAAGAAAAACCCGCAACATATTCAGTTTATAGGCACTGTGTCCAATTGGAACAGCAAGGCGTACATACATATACATGCATAAGTGTGTAAGTACATACACAGATACATAAGTACACACACACACACATACATAGACGTGTTTTGTTAGGCCACCAATGACTGTGTTGTGTTGAGTCCATTGTGGCCTCTGCTGCTGTGCAGCGCTGTAGTCTTATTTGAACTCTTTTTTTTTTTTTGTTGTTGTTGTTTTTGTATGGCGTCTTAATTTTGCAGCGTTTGCATTGCCAGCAAGCAGAAGAAAAAAAAAATAAAATAAAGAAAGAAAAAGGAAAATGAATTAAATTACATATAGCTCAAAAACAAAGGCGAAATAAAACGCAATGACAACGGGCAAAACAAAAGAAATCATGAATTAGGCAGCAAATAAAAAAAAAGAAAAAAAAACAGTCGCAGTTTACAGTAAAAAGTGAATTGGTGTGCGCGTATTTATTGTTATACAAAACTAATGGCTAGCTATGAAAAAAGTAGTGCTCAAAATGTCAATATATAAATGGGCTGCATAACAACAACAAGCCAAGTAGTTGAAACAATAACAGCAACAGCTACAACAACAACAGCAGCAGCAGCAGCAGTGGCAACAACAACACAACAACAACAATGAAGCTAGCAGGTGCATAAACAAGAGCTCTGAACTAGTTCGATCTAATTGGAACTGAGCTGTTAGTTAACAGTGCACTGTTGATGAGCAGTCGAAAATTTGCATTAACAGCTGTAATTGCATTATTTGCACAGCTGTTTGACAATACATACACACATGCACATAGCGATGCGCGCGCGTGTG